ATGAATTAGTGCTGTTTATAATAAAACATAACAATTTTCTGATATCTGTGATTGTTTTTTAGGATTAATGTAATCATTCAGTACCTGTATCCTTTGAGTGATGGATCTCAGATCTATTGGCTCCTTTATGACGGCATAGTAGTCGGGGTAATGCTACAAAAGACAGACAGGCCTATAAATATCAAATATATTACAATCTCAGGGGCATCATTTGAAGTCCAAAGAGTCTTTCAGGACTCACCACTTTGGCAGGCAGTTTCTGGAACAGTTCACTGACCATACGCCCCGAGGGATCAGGGTGGGTCACTATAGCCTCCAAGAGCTGCTCCAACACTTCCTTCAAATTGCCAGTTGGAGTCTAAAAGACAAAAGTGCATTAAATTAGTTATTTGGTCCTTGTTATAGAAAAACAAGTAACATTGACCATACATGTTTTCTTTGTTATTGATGTTAAACACCAAAATAAGGTAATAAAGAAAGTTGTACAAGCAAGCAAACCTAATACATCAATTGAGGGAAACCAATTACCTCTTCCTCCGTTGACATTCCTGGAGTATCCATCATTTCATCACCATCTTCATCATCCTCATTTTGCAGAAAATCATTCCTTGTTTGCAAGTATACCTCCCACAACTTGCTTGCAGACTGATACTCCTCAGTGTCACGCTGAATTGTTGAAGAAAATAAACATAGCTTTGATGCTGGAAATATGACTTAACAGAATAACTGTCCTATTACACACTTATTACAGTGATAGAAAAACTGTTTTTGTACTGTCATTATACCTTGTAGAATGATTTTGCATTGTTGAACATGAGCCTGAAATCTCCAGTAAGCTGCTCCACATCATTATAGTCTTCAGACTTCAGTTTAGCTTGAATTTTTGTCATATCCATCGGCTGGGACACCGCTTCATAATAATCAGGCTGATTCCTGAAAAAGAACAAGGGGGGACAGGCATCACTGTAATCTCCTTATGTCTGAGACCCACCCACTATTCAGACTGTCAAATCTCAATGTAACATGCAGGTGTATGATGGTTGGTATCCCTGTTATCGGCAAGGGATGTTATTGACAGGTCCTCCCACATTTTTAAAACATTAGCATACCTTCTCTTTGGTACCCTTAGGAAAACGTCACAAAGTTGCCTCCCTCGGTCATCCTTGTAATCCCTGACAGCATTGAAGAGCTCATGGCATACAGCAATCTGGGGGGCGGGGGGGGGGGGGGACAAGCAATCAAAAAACCCAAAATTCAGATTCAGAATACTTTATTTTCCATTACATTTGAATTGTGTCTTTGGCACTGGTAAAGAAGATACAAATCAAACTCACCATACACAGAACAACACACACAAAGAGGGAAACTGTATCTTAAAGTGACTAAGTAGCAATCTTAACAAAAGTGCATGGTGGTTTATTCTTCCACTGGCTTGGGTCCATTAAAATATCGGTTAGGTTAACATTAAATAATGTACTAAACATGTAATTAATGTTTACTAATACACCTATATGAAATAAGAGACGCTTGCGCCATATGTTTTTGATCATACTAGGCTTAATATAGTATTTGGCCATAAATGGGTAAAAATCGATTAAAAAAAATATGAAAACTTAATGCAGAAATATTGTGGTAAATCCAGTGCAGCTACCGTATCTACAGGAGCAGCATTGGAGGTGTGTCTTCTCTTCCTGCCGCTTCCAGGCGTGGAGGAGGAGGTCTCGTCCAGGTCGCCCCCTCCACTGACGCTGCTGGAGGGAGAGGTGGCTCTCCTCCTCTTGGAGCTGGCTGACATCGCTGGCTGTTTAATAACAGACTAGCCCACTAGCTACCAAAATAGATAAAAGTTATTACGGATTTGGCCCGATAGACATTCATTTAGTTTAAATAAAATACATAAGTCCTTTATATCGCTTTTTACAACAGGTACACTGTTGTAAACAGAGAGAACTCAGTCGGTTAGCGTTAGCAGCTCTTCATGAGACAAAGCGGCTGTTAGCATGTTAGCTTTACTTGCCGCTTTCCTCACAACACAGCCACGCTAAATATTTTACAGTTACCAGAAAAAAAAACGCGTGCAAGCATGTTCAATTTAACACATTAATTGACCCCCAAAAGCAAATCTTACCCAAAAATACCCAAAATCCCCGTAGATCCCTGAGCAGAAGAAATGTGTAACGGCTAGCTTGCTAGCTAGTGTTGTTTGAAAACTTCTGTCCGGAAGTTGAGGTTGTATTGTGTTTGTGTGGAGAGGAGAGCGCCTCCTGAAGCAGTGCTGCCCCCTCAGGGGGGGAGAAGTACTGCAACCAACATTATGGACCATTCAATTGATGATTGATCCACACAAACGAACAGGGCCTGACCAATTTGCTTTCATGCCTGTTTTTATTTAGTGGGAATGCTGTTAACAGCACTCCAACTATCTGTTCTTCTACGCACGAAATTCTTTATTCTTATTATTCCACCCGTTATTTTGCTGGTCTTCTTGTCTTCTGGTCGGGAATCGATTGCTATTACTTTTCTTATTCACAACTTTCATAATTCCCGAGATATATCCCATAATTCATCACATTTTTAACCTTTGAAGTCAATGGAGAAAATCTTCAGACTTGAACAATCTTCATGCGACTTCAACTGCTAACTGTTCCTTCAAGATTTCCTACACTCTAGCTGTGACATCACGCACTCTAGTTAAAGGTAGGGTAGGTAAGTTTGAGAAACCGGCTCGAGATACACTTTTTGTTATATTCCATGGAATGCTCTTAACATCCCGATAGCAATAAATATCTTAAGTGCTTTGACAAAAAATCCATAAAAAAATGTCATCTGTGGAAGCCGTAATACTGTAAAAAGTACGACCAATCATTTTAGCCGGCCCGGCTAAAATAACTGGATGGCCTACCTGCCTGTCAGTCTTCCATCTGTGCACAAACTTATCTCGTGCCCTCATTGGTCATGTGCGCGTTCGTGTGTGTTGGAGGAGGGGCTCTATAAGGAAGTGGCAGATTTTCTCCGGTTGTGTATTTTCGAATTCTTGCGATCTCGAGCCGGTTTCTCAAACTTACCTACCCCACCTTTAAATAAAGGTGTTTTCTGTGAAATCTGCATTTGGGTGCTGCCTGCTTCGCTCAACCCTGACAAGTTCAAAAGTTTGCAGTTCAAATATTCTGCTGCTTTTCCAAGCCTTTTTACTTTCTTTTCTTCTCTCATCACACATTCAAGCCCCCAGTGTTCATGTATCATTTCAATCTAAATTCTTCACTATCTTCTTACACATTACATTTCAGCATAGCAATTCAGCATCAGCTTTTCAGCATAAAGCTTTCCCACTAGCAATTTCTTCAGGAATTGCATTCTCTAGTTTATTCTGTTATTTCTTTTTTTATCCTCAACTGCCTAAGATATTGTTTGTGCATATTAATTGTGCACATTTAATATCCAAATCTTACTTTATTTTGACGGTTTGGACGTGGAAAGAGGGTTGAGATGTTTTGGGGATGGGTTAGTAAAAAAAAGAATTGCTTTTATTTACAACATGCATGTTGAAATAAAGACTGTGAACATGGTACTATCAAGTGTAGCCTACTATCCATTCACCCAAAAATAATAAAAAACACAAAGACATACAAGATTCACAATAAAATAAACTTCTCCACCCATATCGTCTGTTTGATAATGTTCAACTAGTTAAAGGTGGGGTACAGTAGGTAATTTTGGAGAAACCAGCTCGAGTGCGCTAGAATTTGAAAATACACAGCCGGAAAAAATCTGCCACTTCCTTACAGAGCCCCTCCTCCAACACACACGAACGTGCACATGACCAATGAGGGCACGAGATAAGTTTGTGCGCAGATGGAAGGCTGACAGGCAGGTAGGCCATCCAGTTATTTTAGCCGGGCGGCTAAAATGATTGGTCGTGCTTTTTACAGTACTACGGCTTCCACAGATGACATTTTGTTATGGATTTTTTGTCAAAGCACTTAAGGTATTCATTGCTATCGGGATGTTAAGAGCATTCCATGGAATATAACAAAAAGTGTATCTCGAGCCGGTTTCTCAAACTTACCTACCCCACCTTTAAGTACAGTAGGCCTATATGGACAATGATATATATCCTCAATTAAATATAATGGCAAAACACCATGAACGCATTGCAATGTGTTGCAATGCGTTCATGGTGTTTTTATTTGTTCAATTGTATATGTCTTATATAACTATGTTGCATTGTTGGAGGAGCTCGGGACGTAAGATGTTCATTGCCATTTCTACACTGTAGCTTATGTGCATATGACATTAAAACCTTTTGAAAGAACCTGAACCTTTGAAAGAACATCCATAACATTCACCTGTTTGCAATTTATATCAATATTCCAATTACTTGTATATAGACTATTCTTGCACTATTTCTATAATATTATATTTTGCACTATTTCATCTGTTTTATTGTGTTGCACTGTTGGAGGAGCTGTGACCTAAGATTCTCATTGTCATAACTACACTGTAGTAGCTATGTACAAATGACAATAAAAGCCTTGAATCTTGAATTTTAATCTTGAATCAGAGCTGGTGAATAAACATGTGGGTATTTTTTTAGTCCTAATTGCTTTAGGGCCCTATCCTGTGAAAGGGTGCCTGCCAGTGCAGAGAGGATGCTGTAAGAGAGTGAATGCAGGGCGTTGCCTCAATATTAATGGCAATTCAGATCTTTAATTCCCTGCAAATGCCCATTACCCCTAATTTGGCATATTTTCAGTAAGCATCTAAAACCTTGCATAATCCAGAGGCCGCTTGTGTGTGCCTTGTCAGTGCTGTGTGATACATTATTCACAGTGACACGTTACGCCTGTTTTGCCGAGGCTCTAAAATTGTCTGCATAACCTGCAAACTCAGCAGGAGCGTGACCGACTGCACTGCGAGAAGCTTTCAGGAAACAACAAGCAGATGCACAAAAAAATGTGTTCACATGCAACAGACGGCGGCTCGACTATCTTTGTGAGAATCGCAGATCACGTTGTTAAGAGAACAGTGAGTGATTCTATGCTGCACTACGTCCACAGACGTCTGGTTTTCTTGACGTCAGGAGAAGTCTAGTGGACACAACGCTGCGCACAAGCACAGCAACCACATCGCTCCCACAGGCAAGGAGAACACATCACAGCGACAGATCGCCATTTAGGTATGTCTTTTTCTCTAGCCATATATTCACAGAAATGCAAAATCAATCGTGTAGTTTTTCCTTTAGCACTTAAACTTGTGAAGCTTCTTTTATTGTGCGCCTGCATGTAGCATCTGCAGGTTTAACCCAAAGATGCTGCTTTCCTTTGACTGCCATACCCTTGAGCGCTGCAGTACTACTCTTCGCACACCCACACCGCCTTTTCTCTCTGTAGCTTGTACTTGTATGATCACCACCTCGAACATTTGACTTATTTTCAGTCAGTCTGGCGTAATGCACCGGCAAGCCGTTTGAATTCCCATTCAACCCCCTGCTTCCATTCACGCCCTGCAGCCTTAATGCAGAGCAGGTTACCGCACGTTTCTCAGTGGAATACAGTTTCCATTTCACCTGAGCTCTTGTATTTGTGGATTTGACAATCATTACTGGTTACATATTGAGAAATACTGCACATTTCTCCCAGCTGGTATCTGCCTCTACTGACCATGCGTTTGTTTTTGCGACGCTGTATGGTCCCTTATTTGACTGTCTCTGCTGCACTAGTCTATTTGCCCTACTTTATGTTATTGTGTTGCTATCAATTGCTGCCCAGCCGGATCTCAGCAAAAAAGACTCTTGTGGGTTGTAGCTTTTGGGGGGAAAGTTGTATATCTTCCTTTTCATTGTGCACGTTTCTTTTTTTTCGCTCTCAATTTGTTTCATTCTTATTCATTTATATCATTTTTCGCAGCCTTATAAAAGTGTACTGTCCTTTTTAAATGTAATGCAATAAATGCCAGGCCTTCAGCTTCAATGTTTAATTATACGTGATTTGACATTTGAGCTTATTAATCAGTCATCATGCAGATCAGAAGAAACTAGTAACTTGTCTTCTTGCCACCAGTCCAATCAAACTGCATTAACCAGAACACTTCACCATAAAAATCAATGGTTTATTTAATGGATGAAGGTTTTATGCAGCAATCAGTCAGCCAAACTCTAATTGACATATTAAACAGATACTGTGGCTGAATATCTCCCACAGTCTAAATACTCTTAATTAAGTACATTATACAGTGCATGAGTGCCCGTTGATTGTGGTGTCATATATCCAGTTTCCCCACTGGGTGCTTGAATAATGTTTGTGATAGATACATCATCAGAAAGTAGTTAAAACACACAGCAACATGATACAAAATCAAGGAATTGAGGGAATGTATATCTTACACATATGTTCATTAAACATCACTTCATATAAATCATTGGTTCACTTTATCCACCTGATCAGACATTTAGATGTGATTACACATGCGTGGGGTCATATCTTAACGTGCATGCTCTTAGTCTTTATTAACAGTTTTTTTGTGTTTCTGTTCCCTTTGCCCCATAGCTGTAGTGTGGCTAATCGGATCAGCATTGTAGGATGCCTCTTGGAGAGGATGGAAATGGATGGAAAAAGAAGACATCAGACATCAAAGAACATTATGACTTCAAAGAAGTACTGGGGACGTAAGTACTGCTAGTTTAGTGCTGTTGTCAGGGAAATTCTGAATGTTCAATACGGCCCAAGACTCTCAATGGACCCTAACACCTCAGCTTGTGTCAGTCAGGAAAGGTCTAATGCTCTTGAAACTTTCATAGATCATTTTAGCTCCATGTACCTCCATTGTGCGGGGGAAGTTTAAGCAGTTCATGTCTCAAAGCCTTAAAAAATAGATCTCAAACTACCCCCATAACAATAAAGCAAAACGTGTATAAGTAGGATTAATAAACTCTTAATTTGCCCTATCTGAGAATGTCATATCTATTATTTCATTTTTCTTTGTGTACATTCAAATAATCAAAAAACAATTGAGAAAGCATGGGGGTACAGTTTCCAGGACACCCACACTGGTTGGTTTCCAGAATTTCAGTCAATATATAATGAAGCTGCCATGTGTAGCCTGCTGTGTAAATTGTAAGTGATGGGTACCTACACAACCCACAGAGAGTTGGAGACACCAAGGGATTATATCAGACCCACCAGTCATTCCTACTCCATCTGTCCACACTGTCAGAGCTGCAGTCTGGACTCAAAGAAACTTGAGTGACATTTTGGACGTTCCTGTCACGTCTTGACTCAGACTAGTCTTGTTCTTGGCCGCAGTTCAATGCTGACTCAACTATTTCCCATACGTCTTAAAGTATTCAAACATGCATTTTTTTTCCCTGGCCAATTTGACTTTCTTCTGAGTGTTGCAAACATTTTAAAACACATTAAAGTTACATTTTAAGGATTGGCTGATCAAAGGCAGGCAACGAAAGGAAACAGTAAAGTTTATAATAATAAAAGCAACAGCAACTTAACTGAATCTAGTTTTGAATGCAGCTTGAATATTTTTAAGCTGATCTTTACTTCATCCATTACTCATGTTCAACACGAGTTTAACATGAAAGGGCTAGAGCTGCAATTGTGTGCATATTGCAGGCGTGTGTGCGGTTGCATGTGAGTGTATTTGTTACTGAACATCATTATCAGTTTAGGTACTCTTCCTGTCATGGTCAAAACTCGTAATGTGGAGTGCACTTGACATTCAGGCAGTTTGGCCTTAATGTTGGCTTTGACTCAGTGTTCTTGTTTTGAGAGTAGGAAAGAGTCCTGAGTGGAAGAGAGGTTGACGTCAGTCACGAAACGTTTTTTCTCTACACTGTAAAATGTTTGGCTGTAAAATTACAGTAAATTACTGGCTACTAGTTGCATGGATTTCACAGTAATTTACTGTAAATATTTCACAGTAATTCACTGTAAATATTTCACAGTAATTTACTGTAGATATTTTACAGTAAATTAGAATAAAAGTACAGCTAAATACTGTGACTTTACAGTTGCCATGCCCATGGAATTACTGTGATATAGCAGTACAGAGCTGTGGTATTATGGTACCTTGCTGTACATAAATTACAGTAATTACCTGTATTTTCACACTATTACTGTAGAAGTAATGCAACACAGTAGCCAGTAATTTACTGTAAATATACAAATGTAAATAATACAATAATATATTGTAAATTTGACTAGTTAACTGGGATCTTACCATAACTACACAATTCAATCGGCTCAATCAACAAAGAAAAACAAAGAAAATGCCCATTTTAACTTTGTATTACTCCATTGAAGTGCAAAGTACATTTCACAGTGTGTTGGACATGTTGTTACGGCCCCAACCTCTACTCCGCGGTAGTGGCTCGTGCTGAGACCCGCAACATGAAAGAATACACGCAATAACCGGTACTTGGTAACGAGCATTTATTGATAATCAGCCGTTTGCTCACACAAGCGAAACGGGAAACAAAAAGAGGTCTGGAGGACTGGCCAAAAGGAACAAACAGAAGGAGGGAACCCGAGCCAGCCACACCACGGGCCGTAGGACCCAGAACTCCCCCCCCCTAACCAGAAATCAATTATAAACCCTATGGGAAACAAAATAAAGCCGCGAAAACTGGACTACCAGGTCCTCCAGGCTAAACATAAACACATCTGCAAAAAGATGGTCTACAGCTCAAAATGGCAAAGAGATATTCTAAGGAGAGTGTCTCCCGGCGTGAGACATCCTTCTCCTCCAGCTTCTCTTTATATATACACGGCTGAGTGGAATTAGGAACACCTGGGCAGAGGCGGAGCCAGGGGCAGACCAGGTGCAGAAAACAAGGAGGGCAGCAGTTAACACATGTCTACACAGACATCCACTCGAAGTCAACAATTTTTGACAAGGGGGTTTCAATTGCCATGCCTCTTTTTGGCTTTCGAGCCCGTCTCAGGATTAATGCCCAGGAAGCACCTGAAAACAATAAACCAAGACAACAAAATGTATATGTTGCATCATTTATTTTAAGGCACATGCAGCGGTGCCCGTTTCAATTTAAGTAAAACCTGCACCAAAGAAAGAAATTAGTATTTAAAGCCAAGCAAGAGCGATAAAAGCAAGAAAATCCCTTAATTTGTTGTGTTATCACAGAGGATGGTCTGAATACAGTATTTTACTCTGAAATAATACAGTAACATGTTGTGAAATCCTGGTAATCATTTATCCTGTACATTCACAGTAATTAACTGTGCCTGTATTGATTTCACTGTGAAATTCAAAATTACAGTATTATATTGTGAACATTACAGGTAAAGACTGTAAAGTGGTAAAACAGTAATTTATTGAAAAATATTACAGCTAAATATTGTGAAATCATGGTAATATTTTACAGTGTATGTATGAAACCAGTCAAGGACCAATTCATTCTTCCCTTTCATTTTCTCTGAAACTAAAATCTCACTCAATTAAGTGGTTCATCTTATTCCCCATGAGAACACAAATAAGAATACAAAATCAATCTAACCAGTAATATCTAACCCATCTCATTTTAAATATAAAAGAGTCTGCCGCTTCATCAACCCAAGTTATATATTTGTCTAAATTTTTTAAGAGATTAGGAGCACTTTGCTCATGGCAAAAATAAATATTACATTCACCCATTTCTGAAGCCGCTGTCTAAGATTTGTCTGAAAAGATTTTCAAACTTCCTACTCGTTTGATGTGGCCTGGTGGATTCTACAATTCTTATTGATCTAAGTCTGGAATTCAAAATAAGTCACATTTACATCTATGTACATGTAACACACCTTAAGGTTGTAATAAACCACACACTAAATCATCAACCAGCATGAAAAAGGTTACTTTTTAATGGTGATGGCTGGACCTGTGACTGCACTCTCCAGGGGGGACAAAACCGGCCCAGATGGTCATGGGACTGCTCTCCACTCCCCCAAACTGAGAACAAGTGACCTAGCACATGTCCACCTGTGATAACACGAGTGTGCCAGATGGAGTGTGGTTTTGTTTTCTATCTTGCACACCTGTTTACCCAGAAAGGCTGCACAGAATCAGATTTTAATGACTGTGCAGCTCTGGTTCACATCCAAAAAAGTGAAATAGCAGTGGGTAGATGATGAGGCCGTCTGGTTATGTTGAGTGCTGTAGGAGGACATCAAATAAGACTCCATCAGTCTCAAAGCCTGTGAGCTGCATGCACGAGCACACCGTTTATTTGAGAACTCATGACTGCTGCTAAACTCTGATTATTTCTCTTACGATTTCTGTACGGCTCACAGGAACTTTCAAAAGTGATTGTAATTTGAAGTATGATATAAAGTGTTATATAACAAGGATTGAGTGAATTACCAGGATAGCGGGTTCCCATATTTCATGAAAAAAGATGCAGAAAAAAGCTGAAGTAATATTCTTTTCCTACTGTCACTATAGCTGGACCTGGCAGAGGGAAGAATTAATGTGTTGACGGAAAGCTCCTTATGCTCGGAGAGAAGATTACAGTGGAGCTTTATCCAGGAATTCAGTGCATGAAGTTAATTGATTTATGTTGAAATATTGTATTCAGATCCAGCTAATCCTTACAGTTTAAACTCTGTTTAGGGTCCACGTCAAGCTAGCTGTCCTCTAGGTAGGGTTGGCAGATTGAAACACTTATCCTCTCTGCAGTTATCATGTCTGTCACACTGCGGTCACACGCTTGGGCTTTTTTTGTAGTCATTTTAAGATTTTAACTTTTAACCTTTAACAATGTTATCTACCTATGACAGGAAATAGAAGAGCAAAGCATATTACTGATAACATTCTGTTTAACTACCTGTGAGATGCCATCACTGTTGCTTTTTATAAAATAAAGGTGTGACTATGAGATTCCAGCAAACTCAGGTTTTCTAAGCTTTGCTTTTGAGGCCGTCGTTGTGTTTTTGTGAAAGACTGTAAAAGGAGGGAGAGAGTAAAGCAGCTAACCCATCACTGTAGTTGTTATGGGCTATTGTTGTAATGAGTGTAATAAGTGGAGTGTTATAGCTTCTGTAAAAGTCTTGTCTTTTATGGACACTGACAACACTGATGGCTTTCTTTTTACAGTTTCATTAAATGTCCCATAAAATCACTTAGAGTTCAATACTTTTGTCCAAGGTTTAACGTTTTTATGTATGAATTATGATGTATTAATGAGACCTAAAAGGAGAAATGACATGGGTGCATCCATAGTAGTTCAGTTTCCTGTGGACAGATATATCCCTGCATGCTGGCAGCTTGTCTCAAAGCAATGCATGGGGCCAGTTAAAATGACACATGATATATTAATAATGGCCTATGCCATGTTGGTATAAAGTCACCGTTTTTTTTAAATTATTGAAATGCCTAGATGGATAAATATGTGTGTTTAAGTGCTATGCAGTTTAAAAAAAGAGTTGGGCATAATGAGTTTGTGTAGTGCAACTTGCTTTAATTTAGTCATGCATGTCAGCTCAATAAACAATTGCGTTTTAACTAGGCTAAGTTTTAAGTTATGAACAGCTGGTGCAACTGGCTCCTGGACCGAGAGACTGTGATGTTATTAAATCCCTTTTGCAGTCAAAATGATTGGTGTTAGCTGGAATGTCCAATACTTTCAATAAAGTTCTTTTTTTGTTCCAAAGATACACTATCAATCAGGCAGAGTCATGCACCTTGGGCCTGTTGCTGACAGCCTCGAGCATCCATAAGTCTATCGATCTCACCTGGCAAGCGCTCCCCTTAAGCCCAATATGCCTCCGAGTCCCAAAAAAGCGTTCTCTTTTTAGCCTAATCCATATTGTGTGTGTGTGAGTTTGTGAGTGTTTGAGAGAGAGAGAGGGAAAGACAAGAGGTGATATGTGTGGACAAACAGTACAATCCCATTTCACACTATCTACAGAAAAACAACTTAATACATTCATATAAACAAAGATGGGGACTGGTCCATTCACTAACAATTGCTCAACTGTAAAATAATGTGTAGGTCAAACCTCTCAACTCCTCACTCTTCTCTATAAACAACCAGAATGAGTGCTAGCAGTGTTTTTGTACTGCATGGTCAAAATGTGACTGTATCTCTCCTACACACTATCCACCTGGAGTGCACGAGTAGTTCTTGAAACTCTCCGCCCCCATTTCTTACTACTTAATGGTTGTATCTTTTTTATGGATGCATTGATGTGCTTTGTTTGATATAAAATGTAAAAGGCCTATTACAAAAAGGATGACGGTACTGCTGCTTCTACTCAGAATTGAATGGAGAATTCAAACAAGTTTTGCAGCTCTTTGCAGAATTAGCTTTTTAGAGCTTATTGTTTTGAGTTGGGGGTTACGGTTGTGACAGGGTTAGAGTTGTGACACATTTAAGTCAGGGGACTGTATTCTCTGTATCATATCATCCTTTCTGTTTGAATGTACATGTTAGAGAGCTCAGAAAGGAGAGTTGAGTGTCAGCATCTACACACTTAATAATAACTCAGCTGTGTTTTAGTCTGATATTATTTTATAAAAGGGTTAGGAATTTATACTTGCGTCATTCAGTGACTGCCTGTTTAGATACATGATTACTTTGATACAGCGCTATATTCAAATATTTGTAAAGTCTTGGAATGATGTTTCTTATGTTGTTCATAGTGTAACTTATTAAATCCATTGTTAGTTTTGGCTTGTTAGCTACTGAAACTTTAAAAAGGAGTTCACCAACAAACATAATTAATTAAAAAACAGCTGCAGCTTAATCCTGGGCCTCTAAATATATGTCTTCACCCATGTTGTTTACTAACAACTCTTCATGTTAAAATTCATCATGATGAACTGTCGGATGAAGCCTTAAAGACATGGAAGAGGGCAATAAGAGCATACTTCATGGAGGTAACACTGAGAGACGCTGACAGCGATATGAGAATGTGTGAATCAATATTTTCCCGTATGGACAGCTGGGATAACAGCGTCTTCTACAATATGTGTGTGTGTGTGCGTGTGCGTGTGTGTGTGTTTTGTAAGTGTCAGACAGAGACCCATGCTGTGGTGTTATGCTGATGGCTTTGGGGCAGACACCATCACACTTATACAGATGCATAATTACCAGATATGGCGCTTTTAATGAATGTTTCATCTATCTATCTATCTATCTATCTATCTATCTATCTATCTATCTATCTATCTATCTATCTATCTATCTATCTATCTATATCTATCTATATCTATCTATATCTATCTATCTATCTATCTATCTATCTGTCGTTCGAGTGGAGGTTTAATCTAAAAAATGTCTAAAAATATGCTGTGACAGTCTTGTTCATGTACACAAAAACAGCCGAGCGTCAGCTATGAGTCTTGAGGCCAATGACTCATATAGGACTTATTTATTTGAATTTGTTTACAGCAGGATAATGTGCATGCCAGGATTATTTATTGGCATAAAATATATCAGATGATATGGCAACAAGAAGACTGAAGAAATTGACAACAATCGTTTCACTCTTATCTAATGCTAAGTCTTACACGTTAGCTGTTACATAAATCTTATCAGTTCAGAATAACAGCTACAGTGGCTTCCTGTCTTCCTCTTCCCAAACCCCCTGAGAGCCCACCCCTACGTCTCCAAATTAGCAACTGGATGTTTGATTACAGTGTGTCTCACGGCAACAGTAGTGTGTGTGCGTGAATGTATTTTATTTGAAGGAGTAGCATGGATCAGGTCATATACAATATAAAGTTGAGTCAAAATGTGAAATCAGATATCTACAGTCGTATAATTCTGACAATAGAGGTGTAAATTGATAAAAAATTAGATCCTGTTGACATAATGATACTCGTGTTGCTGTCATCTGTGATTCTTGTCAAACAGAAAAAGGACAGTATATATGTTTATCCAGGGGTCTGTCACATCAACAATGATTTTGATCATTTCATTGCATCATATTCCCCTGCTCATTTCTCTTTAAAGACAGCTGTGTTTGAGGCTCACATTATCATTTTTTCATGATTGATTCATTTCTAATCTTACCGGCAAGATTTTACACAATCTGTGGATTCATTGAATTATAAATTGAAAAGTAAACATTGCAGCTTTTTGATAATTAAATAATACTTATGTAACTCAAGTTAAAGCCTCTTGCTTTAAAACTTCTTGTTGTGAGATTTTTCTGTGGGTTTTGAATTGTTGTTCTAACGAAACAAATACATTACACCGTGACAGGCCTTTTTAAAAGAAAATGTGTTAAAGATGATCTTTTTTCTATTTTGAGTCTAAAGAGATTATAACACCCAGAGAATAGGGGTTTTACACTCTTGACCCTCTGAGGAAACCCTTACTGTAAATGTTGCAGACATAAACACATTAAAATGCTTTTATGGGTCGATGCAAATTGGAGCTTTATTTGATTTCGTTTTGAGATTATTTTAAGGACTTTTAGAAAAATGAAACCGGAGATGTGTGTGATAATCGTCTCTCCTCATGTGCATCAGCTTCAATATTCAAACGTTTCTGCTGCGCTGGTTCGTTGAGCACAAGATGGCCACGGTACAAAGCCATCTCAAGGATTACCGCAGATCCACATGGGCATTTACGATGACACGATGATGGGAGGAGGTGTACTGATGGAAGCTCAGGGTTGCTCAATAGCTGTTCTGCTCTGTAATGAACACTTCATGAATGTTAAAAGCAGAATAAACAGAAATTGAGAGATTTGCTTCCTTATTCCCGGGGTGTTGTTGACAACAGCTCTGTGAAGTCTTTATTAAAGGTTGCATACTAAAGTGAAGTTGAGTGTGAGAGGTCCTCACATGCTCCACAGTGTGACAGATGGAAAAGAAGTTGCTATAATAGTAACCTTGGACTCCCATTGTGTATTGCATGACAGTGCTGTTCCACACACATGTAAAGGATCCCTGCGGCTGCTAACAACGCTCAGGCCGACTCCTGAGATCTCTCCCACGCACATGTAGGGAGACTGTGTAAATGCACACTGTTCTCCCTCTCAGCATCGCCATAATCCATAATGCAGTCTTGTCTCCCTCAAAACAGCCACACTGCATTTACTATCTATTATTGAGTAGAATAAAAATAGTTTCTTCTTTCTTTTTTTGAGGCAAGTGATATTGCTATAAATGTCTTTTTGCGACTGCTGAGCATTTTCGTAGCCCCCAAAAAGTCTCGGTAATGTCAGAATTTTGAATTATTTATCCAAACACCACTCATACACACAAAGATGGCTGCATGGAGGGTATTTGGAGATCCTTATTTTAAAGCTTGTGGTTATTTATCACGGAATAATATAACTTGACCTTATCTTTGCACTAAAAAATATCTAGAAGTCTAAAATGATTTGAATAAAAAGCTCTGCATACTCTGTCCCGCTAGTACCATCTTTTGTGTTACATTGTATATCCGTCATGGCCTGTAGCCTAATAAGGGTCCATTAGATCTTAACAAGTCTATTTTACTCAACACATTTTTAAACTGTGTTTGTTTCTTCTACCTTTGTTCAGGGGAGCTTTCTCAGAGGTGGTTCTAGCAGAGGAGAAGAGGACCCAGAGGCTGGTGGCCATCAAGTGTATCCCTAAGAAAGCGTTGGAGGGCAAAGAGAACAACATCGAGAATGAGATTGCGGTACTACACAGGTACGATCACCAAAGTTCCTCGTCGTGCGTTGGCTTACGCTTTGTGTCCATCGGGAGGAATTACTCAACCATACATGTACAGATGCAAAATATATGCAAGGGGTCAATTGAATGGGTGACTAAATGCATGGTGTCAGTAGAAACAGTAGGATTGTGCACCGGAAATGTCAGGAGTAAAGAAGATAGACCTATTTTTAGTGTCCCTGTTGCCAGGGCAACAGCACACAGAGGCGGAGATGGTGTGGAGTTCCCCGCAGCAGTGTATTGAAGAAAGAGAAAGAGACATAGAGGGTGGAGAAGTGGAGATGGGGGTAGGGTATGAAGGAGAGCGATATGGCAGAGTGGGAGGAGTGGAGTTTGGCTAAATACTTTAAGTCACAATTAAATAAACAGGACTCATGCGAGTGGCAGACTAGACGAGGTATTCCCTATTCCTATTAAAAGTCACAGCCCAGCTGATGCTATGTAACAGTGATGGTTTGTTCATCCTTTTGACTCAGGAGCCCAGAGAGATGGCTGACTGACTGGTTCACAACAATAAACAATACCATTTTGTGCGTCTGAGAATAAAATGTGTTATAGTTATTCTGTCAAGCCCTGTAGCTCTCATCAAAAGCTGATATTTGTTTCCGGTTCCAGCTGTGAAGCACTGGCTATTGTCCTTCTAGGCAAGAGTACTGTATCTGAAGCTTCTCCGTGTTCTGATCTGAGGGTCTCTTTCAGTCTGCACACATAGGTTTGATCTCAATTAACTGAAGGGCTTTTCATAGAAAAGAGGGAACATACAGCTCTACATTTGAATTATGCAGCAAGAATGCCATCTGGTGACCAACTTACAGTAAGCAAGAGAGATTGAATCTCAATAAAAAATGCAACATATTCTATCTGATGATTTTTGTCCATTTATGTTCCTCAGAATCAAACACGCCAACATTGTCACACTGGAGGACATCTTTGAAAACACATCCCATCTATATCTCGTCATGCAGCTGTAAGTCCTCCTCTTTAACTTACACAATGGCTTATTATATAAAAGAAGACATGAATGTGGATTTATTTACTGTGCTTTATTTGGCTGTATGAGCCTAACACTTTGATTTTGACCTGGCAGGGTATCTGGAGGTGAGTTGTTTGACAGGATAGTGGAGAAAGGTTTCTACACAGAGAGAGATGCCAGCCAACTTATCCACCAGATCTTGGATGCAGTCAAATATCTCCACGATATGGGCATCGTCCACAGAGACTTGAAGGTATTATTGCTCAAGGAAGACAGGAAGATAACTGCTCGATCTGGCTTGCAGTTGACCCTTTCTCCCTTTGCAAACCGTCCTCTTTGATGCCTCTTCTTGTCTTTGCAGCCAGAGAATCTGCTGTATTACAGTATGGACGAAGACTCTAAAATTATGATCAGTGACTTCGGATTGTCGAAGATTGAGGGAGCAGGCAGTGTCATGTCCACAGCCTGCGGTACGCCTGGATATGTGGGTAAGGCATTTATTTTGCTGGTCTGCCAGACTCTCCTCGCCTCCCCCTCTCTTTCTTGTGAGCTCAGTGCCTGTTATTTCAGCTGATATCCCCTCTTTATTCATTGAGTTGTGAGAAGCTCTTTCGTCCACTACTGAGGCAATTGCAAGTGTTTCAGAAGGGCTCTCTACCTGTTCGACATGACCCACTAGATCACATGGTATTACTGAAAGGTCAAGATTACTTGAATTCACCCCCACTTCTACCCTGTAGCGTATATTTGTTCTGCTTTTCCTGAATGTCTGCTGTGTGTTTCACAGCTCCCGAGGTGCTCGCTCAGAAGCCGTACAGCAAAGCAGTGGACTGCTGGTCCATAGGAGTTATTTCTTATATTCTGTAAGTAAGCCCCTTAATCACTGGGAAGTATGTCAAGTGTGAGTTTTATACTGAATATTATACAATATCACTCCCACAGGTTATGTGGATACCCTCCGTTTTACGATGAAAACGATGCCAAGTTATTTGAGCAGATTCTGAAAGCAGAGTATGAATTTGACTCTCCGTACTGGGACGACATCTCAGATTCAGGTACTTCTGATTATTAAAATATGTACGTATAATATATATGTATACCTAATCAGATTGGACGTATAATACCATGATTTTTGTCTGCAGCCAAAGACTTCATCTGTCACCTGATGGAGAAAGAACCTTTGAAGAGGTATACATGTGATCAGGCGCTCCAGCACCCATGGTAAGAGAGTCAAATACTTATTACCTTTATATATAAAAAAGATACTCATACTTTGGGTTCTTGAAAACAATAACAGCCATTTTCACTATTTTCTGTCAAATGTTAGACTAAATTAAAATAAGGAGAAAATAGAAAAGGACATACATTATATCATATCAATAAAAAAAATCATCGACCAGCAATCAGCTAACATTTATTTTCATTATCAATAAACCATTGCCTATTTTATTAATTCATTTATTAATCTCTTAATTAAATGTTAAAACAAATCACATTCTAATTTACAAGCCGAAACTGACACTTTCAAATTCCTTGTTTTACTCATAATGATGTTCATTGAACTATTACTATTGTGTTTGTGACAAAGAACATTATAAAATCTTCTTATTTGAGAAACAGGAATTAGCTAAATGTTTGCATTTTTTAAGGAAAATGTAAGAATTAATCAAGTATTTAAAAAAATGCCAATACATTTTTCTTCAAATCGACACAAAATGCAAAGAATACGCTCTAGTCATGTTCTTTAACTGAATTTCACTTCAGTGATTCTTGTTGACCTTGCAGGATCTGTGGAGACACAGCTCTGGACAAGAATATCCATGAATCTGTCAGCGCTCAAATCAAGAAGAACTTTGCCAAAAGTAAATGGAAGGTCAGTGCCTGAACCACAGAGCGGCCTGCTGAGAGAGCAGTATTAAGATTGGCAAGAGCACATTCAGTACGCCTGTGCTTCTCCCTCAGTAGCTGTCACACACAGATTGTTTTCCCTTTCTCTCTCTCTGTCCATGAAGCAAGCATTTAATGCCACAGCGGTGGTGCGCCACATGCGGAAGTTGCAGCTGGGCACAAGTCTCGAGGGACCGAGTCAGATTACTCCCACCAGTCCCTGCCATGGACATCTGCTCCCAGAGGAAGAGGAAGAGGAGGAGGAGGAGGAGGAGGAGGAAGACAAGTTGGGGAATGGGGAGGAGGAGAGCTGTAAGTCATCACTTTACAGTCAACAAACAAACACTATCTTTTAGTCATATCAGACGTGCATATTAAGTTCATTAAACTAAATGTATTACATATAATGCTACATTGTAATTTAACAGCATTTAAACTGTCTAAGGTTGTGGGGCCAAATGTACAATCTTTCAGTTGATCTTTCTCAAATCAAACCATCTTTCCTATATTAAGTGGATGAAGCATTAGAAAGATAAGGATTCTGCTGTTCAAAGACAAATGTATAGAAGGCAGAAAAACTGAGCCTTAGAATGTACAATAAAAGGATGAGAGGATGAATGAGTGTGAAGAGGCATAGTCCAATCCAACTTTATTTATATAGCACGTTTAAAAACAACAGAGTTGACCAAAGTGCTGTACATCAATAAATATATAAAAAAGTGGGAGGGAGGTGTGTGGATAAAGGAGGTTAGAGGTTAAGCTAAGGCATGACCTTGTTTCCTAAACACAAGATCACTTATGGATATTAATATTGTACTTGTAGCTGTTGGGTAACTTTTTATTACCCAGGATTGGCTAATTATGATAACTTCACAGTGTTGGAAATGACTTCTATTTGGAAAGCCTTAGGAGGCTCCCACTGCTAGAGTGGCTAAATTTAGTTTTGCACGAGTTACATTTTCCTTCTAGTGTGATGGTGAGTGCAAAGTTATTATTACCCGTAATCTCCTTATGCTCCGTTGTTTTTGCTCTAATCTCCAGTATCCCACTATGAGGACGGTCGCCGTGGCAGCACCGAGGGCAGCGCAGACCGGGACAGCCTGAGAAGCTGCACCTACTGCTGCAGGCCAGCCAGTCGCGTTTGAGCCCAGCCTCCGGTTGTCATGGTGACATTGTATCCCTGGAGCGCCCAGAGCCCGCCCGCCCAGTCTGGCCAGGAATGCAGAGTAGTTATCAGGCAGTGTCCACCAGAATACATCCACAGCCAGCAGGTCACAGTGTGGAGAAATATACTGTAAGTCTTTCCCCCACAATAAAAAATACAACATACACACATCCTGACTCAAGACACACAAGTTTTAACTTTTTTGCTTGTTGCAGAACAGAATGCAAGGCTGCTCCCGAGTAGACAGTGATTTAAAGAAAGGGCCAGTCTGCATGATAAGCAACCTAACATAGAGTTGTCCAGCTACAGCAGACAGGAGTCATTACAGTGTGTTCTGTAAAATACGTTGTTGGAAGGTTCCAGTCTTCTGGAGTTTAATCAAAGAATAGGCAGTGGCCCAAAGGCAGACTTCTCTATAATTTTTGTTCTCACATTATCTTTCACATCTACCTCTATTCATAATTAAGGTCAGTCTACATCCATCTGGCTCACGCGCTCTACATTACTGGCAGCCTTCTCCAAAAATCTGGCCAGACAGGGCACAAAGAAAAGGGAAACACTGAAAGCTACTCCTGCATGTCTTAATACTCCTTACCCCTCAATGTGACTCGCTCCGGTCGCTGACCAAGTAGCTGTTTAGTTGAATAGAGTTCATCTTGAGGCATGACTTCACTGCCGATGCCCCCCGCCCATTTGTTCTGTTTTATCACTTTTTTCTCATATTAAGTGTTTCTGTCCTTTTTATAAGTATTTCATTGTTTTTTAAAGCTTTTGGACTCTATATTCTGGCTCAGACTGGGTTTGTGAAGAGCGGTTCTGAGTGTGTGCATGCTTCTGTTGGAGAAAAAAATATTGAAATTGATGAATATCAGAAGGAGACTTTTTGTTTTATGGCTGTTCTGTTAGGAGAGGCTCAAACTGAGATCCCTGTGCGCCTGTAAATCAGAAGAATCGTATCTGACTATCCTCTGTGAGCTCACATCATGTAAGAAAGAAAGAGTTATGGGTTAGTGTTAGTGTTGCGAATCCACTGTGCGTGGGAAGAAAAAGATCATACATCACCATGCACATTCTCTCTGTTCTGTTGCTGACAAGCGTCTAAATATTGTCCGGCTCTGGATCTTATGCCGGGTCGGAGGGATCTCAGTCTGAGCGCTCCGCCTGCTCTGTGCTGTGCACCTCTAGTGGAAGAAGTTTTGGTCTACTGTTTGCATGACCTGGTTAAATATGTTTACATGAATGATGATCAATTAGTATAAACACACGATTATTATTACTCTGTTGTATTTAAAAATGATGTAATACTGTAATTTTGAGCTATATAATGTGAAGTGAGTAACACCAGAAGTAATGTTGTTGACAAAGTACAACACAGCACAGTGGACTTATCATTTGCATTTACTACGACGGTCAAGTCTCTACCCGAGTGACATTTCTCCTGTACTTTGTTTGTTTACAACTCAAATATTCAGTTTTCCTGTCGTTGCTTTTGTATTATTTATTTATTCCCTTTTGATACCCAGGCACAAGCAGAAAAAAATACACATATCTTAATTAAACGCATGTGCCAGCCACAGTACAAAACATTAAAAAATATATACAGAGATGCTGGAAATATCACATGTCCGCCAAGGGTGTATTCTTCAGTGTGCATTTGTCCTCCTGGGTAGATGAACTGCAGTACTAAAGCCATATAGTAAAGTGGGGATGTTTAACTGTACATTCAGATATGTTGTCATCTTATAAATATATGACTTCAATTAAGGATGGCTATGATTCGGCACAATATTTAATGTAGAAAAAAAACAAGACAAAATTATTAAATTCAAATCCAAACACTTAAATCCTGATATAAATCACACCATATCGTTGTTGATTTAAGGTATGTCATGTCACCATATTATTAGTTAGCCGTAGAAATAACAAACAAATTCATGCTAGTTCCCTAGATCTGTCATTGACACTTACAGGTCCATAGTAGAATAAAAGAAGGCAATTACTCTGGATTTACATGACGGTAATTGTGGAAAATATGCAAACTGTGAAGGGCTTCATGTTAACTGTACGATAGCCAATGTTGATGAATTTGATAACTGGCTATTCATTGTTTGGTAATTACCTGTCATTGAACCTTCCCTGGGATTTGTTTCCATTTGGCTGTGTTTTTTTAAATATGATTTTACCCATTACAACACATCTAAATGCATAAAGAAACACGTGTATATTATATATATAAATATAAGTATATATTGTATATCCTTTTTTGTAAAAGCTGTTTTGAGCTACAACTGTATGGATGCAATGCATCATGGGTTATTGGAAGATGTAAGAAAATACAATGATTTGTACCCAGTGAGATATGATTGCAGGAAATGAAATAAAACCTCCTTGTCTATGCATTGTGTGTTCTGTCATTGTTCAACAACGTCGAAATGTTGCATAAATCAGTGTGATTCGTAAAGAAGTGTAAGCGATTCAAACTCTTTTTAAACTGATATTACATTATATGCCAAATATAATGTATTCTCATAACTGAATAAATCTCACTTATTTGACCTCTTTATTTACTTATCAAACTACATTTCCTTTATATCGTGATAATTATGATAAGTGCTGATGGCCATTCCAAGACATATCATATCTAAATAAATATATATATATATATTAGCTGGATGATTCATGTGGTAATAATTGGCATACTGATAATTATCATTTCATAATAAGATTCATGTATACTATTTTTTTTTTATTCAATGTTCACCTCCTGCCATTCATAATAAAATAAATGTTCACAAAAGACGTATTTTTGTGACTTTTCCTGCATATATCATGACATTGTAAATACACTAATATGTCACAAGAACAAATGTATTGCATGTTGTTGAATATCTTTTGTCAATGTAAACATTACTTACGACACAAGATATTTTAATTGTAATCTCTTTTACACCAATTCTCATTGTGGACATCATTGACCTTGACAGACGAATGTACCCGATTGTTAACTAATATATGATACTACGCTTCTCAACATTATAAAATAGACCTTACATAAAACAATGATATTTACAGGGTAAAGTGAATGCCCAAAAACACATTGAAAAATTCCTTATTATTCCTTATTATACTGACAACATTAAAGTTACGAGTATTATGAGTCATTACAGACATTATAATTAGAAAACTGTAACACATTACCATGTAAATTAACTTTAAAATGAAAACACATACATGTGCATCTACTGTGTTTACGTAATCCAGTTTTCTGCTGTTATTACATCACAATCCAGTGATGTCTTAATAGATCAGTCATGTATTTCTCATCTATGTGATCCTTGATATTTAAAGACAATTACTTTACCTGTTTCACCTTTGCTCACTTAACCACTGGAACCATCCACTGTCTGCCACATGTCTTACTTCACCTTATCTGATTCTTATGTTAACAGTAACAGTGAAGATCAGTCTCTCCACTTATTATTCCCAACAGTCCATTGCGCTGACTTTCAACACAACACATGCACATACCTACACTCAAAACGTCCACACTTATTTCCCTCATGCATCCAACACGGCTGTTCGTCTCAGTCTCTCTTTGACTCGGAGGAACTCTGGGCCCTCTCGCTGTTGTCCCTTGTCTCTCTCGAACTGTGGAGACATTAAAATACATTAATGCAACATATTAGTTAAAAAGCACTGTGTAGCCTATGCTTGTTTATGAGTATGATACATCTTAATATTTCATATAACAGTTCATATCGTTCATATAACTAGAGCATTATGAAGTCATGTATTATAGTGTCTAACAGATCAACGTATTTTCTTCTTGTAGAAGCCTTTACAGTCTATGGTAGAAGCTCAGGCTGGACTTCTGCAGTGTCTGAGACAATGCCTGCACTGCCCCCCACTGGCTGACTGCAGAACTACATGATGCTCTTATCAATGTACTATATCTTCTGTGAGGAAATACTGAACATATGACACACTCATGTTTGGTTTCAGAATATGTAAAGTCATTCAAATTCAAAGTCAATTCAAAATGTAATTGATATATTATGATGTTGGTATGAAAGAGTGTTAGGGAAATGAGAAGAACAAGTTAGAGGAGAAAGAGGAAGTTTAGAATTTGAAGAATAATGTTGAGAATACAAAGACAGTGTTTGAGAAAAAGGTTGAATAAAGTTGACATGTACAGAATAAGGTTACATGTTCAGTATTAGTGCCAGCCAGGACAAAAAAAAGCTTTTTAAGAATAGAGTTGAAACTATACTCAAACATGTTTTTTAAACAAAACAAGAAAATGCTAAATCAATAAAAAAACGTCCTCCACCTGTTTGCTTCCCCTTGTGGCTGGCCCTACTGTATACTCTTCCTTGGATTTGATTGATAGATCTTGACAATATATTTTTTTAAAGTGTTAACTACTGTGTGCAAACCTTTTCTAGCCTCTGTTGTCTTTTTAGCAGTTCCTGATGAAATGGTGATCTGCTCCTCTTCGCTTCTTCCTGATCCCTGCTCGCCTTCACCCTTTGTTCCCATCTTCTCTTTTCTAAAGCCCTCTGGAGTTCAGTGTTTCCTTCTTGGTGCACTCTGCTGACAGGAACACAGAAGGACTTTATGGTTCATAACGAAGGTGAAGTGTGAGTGTTTTTACTAGAGTCTGTGTTACTTTAACAACCTCTTGTGGGTCATCCGCAGTTCTTTGTGGAGCTCCTGGTGGCTCTTGGAGGCTGTTAAAGGATTGAGAGGTTTTTGGGGTCTGATGAGATTACTGTTCTCCTCCTCACTCTGTAGTTGGGACAGAGAAGCCTGGAGCTCCCAGTATCTGTTTTGCTGTTCAGGTTTGTGTATCTGCATTACTGAGGCAAAAGAGAAAAAAACATACAGACTATATATTTTCCAGTACGATATAGGAATAAAGGATACAATTCGCATTTGACACCATGCAGAGACCATATTTTTCCATAGAGTGATAACAACAATGCTGAATAAATAACCCCTTACATTGTATTAAAATCACATGGCAAGTTAACTATCTCCTCAAGGACCTACCAAACTTTATTATTGATACCACCAGATGAAATAAACATTTGATCAGCTCATCTGTCTGACTAAAACCTGATTGCCTTTTTGCTTCTCTCCAAGCCTCAAATTACTGAAAAGCCTCATGTATTGACAGAGGGAGGGACACAGGTATGTACAGTGCTCTTCCTGATATCAAGACCTCTGGAAATACCACAAACTGCATCCTCACATACATGAAATGACATGGAAACTTGCCTTGGGAACTGTACAGTTAAAGGTCACCTATAGGCTATTATGCAAAATCAACTTTTCTATGTCTTTTATACATAAACATGTGTCCCCTCTGTGTAAAGAGATCATGAAAGTTTCAGGAAAAAATATTTGCTCACTTTTTGTCCTGATCCATCTATATAAAAACCTGTCTGAAAATGAGCTGATCAGATTTTGGCCACCTTATGTCATAACGATTTTTTGGGTTGTGTAACCATTAGCCAATCACCAAGGTAACACCCCCCACCTTATCACCTGCATCTCCTCCTAGAGCACCATTGTGTTATCACATTGGTGGCGTGGGGAGTGGCTCCTTATTTTCATCTAAAGTAAAAGACAGAGAATCAGCACTTTTGAAACAGGGCTGAAACAGAGGGGTTTATGGGATGCTACAATGCATGATCTGTTTGGTATTTCGAGCAAAACACTTCAGAGACATGTTTTGTATATATCTGAGATCTATAATATATTGAGGAAAAACTGTATAATAGGGGACCTTTAAAGTCCTACAAACCATGTGGGTATATGCACTGGTAACTTAGTTCTTGCCTGCTGTAGGGCATTCCATCACTGTAAATCTTACTGAGCAATAATTAATTCATGTCTTTATGTCCTTTGTGTGCATGTGTGTTAAAATATAACAACAATGACTAAAATGTCAAAAGTGTAAAGTACTTAGCAAACATTAGCCACCAAAAGCTATTGGTCATGCCAGACCAAATAACAGAAAATCTGTGTTTTGTCGATAAAGGATTCATATATTCATTTGGTTAAGTCACATTGTGTTATTATTATTATAATCAAAATGTACATAGTCTTGCTTTAAAACACATTTGACAGACATTACTTAAAAAACTCTGGTTGACACTTTTACTCTTTAATGAAGCTGAGAATAAAGAAAATTGATTCTAAAGAAAATACTACTGTGACTACAGATCCACCTTTATCTGTGCCACCTCTGCCCAGTTGTTATTCCCATAAAGTCACAGTTTACCCCTCCTTTTATGACAATGATAATAATCTTGACAGACAGATCTCTCACCAGACACGTTCAGGTGCGTCTCTGGAGGATGTTGAAGATCTCTCTGTCAACAGAAGATGCCATGTCAAATAGAATAACATATGAAAATGTGTTAGTAGTTATTACCAATTTATCTGCGATTGTTTTTATATATAAAAGTGTGTAAATAGTGTGACACACAATTGCAGATAAACGATACACATCTCTCAGTCTGTCACCAATGCAGTTTCATGCAAATGACAGAGACAGAGAGAGAGAGTTGAAAGCATCACAAAGCCGTTTTATGCGACGGACAAATGAAGTGTCATCTCTTGTTCCACATGTCCAGTGAAGCGAGAGCCCTGACGGTGGAGGGCTGCCACCTCATTAATGACAAGGATCAAACAAAACACAGTCTGATTCCCACTGAAACTCTCATTTGCTGGAGTTTGAGCAGAAATAATAGTCGAGACAAGAGTGATTCGTTTGTTTGGACTCGGACAGGACTGCTGAAATAAGTTATTCATTTGGTTTCTGTTGTTGGATAAACGACTGTAGATACATTATGGCAAACTTCTTTTTTTTGCTCTGAGCACAATCTACTGGTTACATTTTCACTGATCAATGTACGTGTTACATAATGTTTGTTGTGGCTTTGGCATTAGTTGCCATTCAGCTGCAACTTGGCTGAATGTGTTCCAAAACTTGCTTGAATTATTCAGATAAAGTAAAGTTTAAATAAATCCTCAGAATGAGAATAAGGTGCAATCTTGCTGAGGCATTTTAATGACAAGTCTGCTGCTGGCAGCGGTTCGGTTGAAGAGGGAAGAGTCATGCTGTTTGGCCAAGGCTTAGACAGTGGATATTTTGTGGCCAGAATTAATTGGACATGACGGGGTAAACACTCTCCAGGGCTTACTTTCCAGTGTTGGCAAGGCTTGTTTTACAGGATAAAAATCTGTATTTGGTTTAAGCCCTTGCTTTCTTGGGGAAATAAAAAGTAGAGATAACAATAACAGATCAGGAAACTGTCAAAAAAAGAAGAAGCTTAAAGGTGATCAAGAACACACATTTAAAACATAGTTTTGGTTTTTCATGATCTGTTAGTGTCTTCTCTAACACACAAGAAAGTATTTTTTGACACATGGATGCTTCTGCTGGATTATTTTAACAGCACAAGTGTTATGTTTTAAAGAGAAAGAAAGAGAAAATAAATGAAGAATATACATTTACAAACGTACCTTCTTTCCATGTGTGACCCCCATGTCGTCAGTCTGAATCCAGATTCAGTTTCTGCACAGTGAACTCACAATGGACAGAGTTGCGATAATAATTTGAGGTTGCTCTCCCTCTCCCTCTCCCTCTCCCTCTCCCTCTCTCTCTCTCTTTCTTTCTCTACTCCATCAGCCAATAACGCCAGAGAGAGCAAACTGTTCTGTGTTTTGACCAATGTCGATGCCAGGGGCGTCGCCTGGACCTGAAAACATTCGGGGCTTAGCCCACAGTGGCGGCGGCGCTACAGTGGCATTTTTTACTGCAACACCCCCCACACGCACACACACAGCACACCCGCGACTGTTACAATGAAGGCTCGATAATCAGCTCACGGCATATAGGCAGGGGTAAAGTGGTATTTTTTATGAGTGGGGGGCTCACCTCCTCTAGGGGGGTCCGGGGGGATGCTCCCCCGGGAAGATTTTTTTTTAAATATTGAAGTTAAATGCATCAATCTGGTGCACTTTGAGAGCAAAATGAAGAGATCTATGGATACCTCTCTCAACACCAATATGAAGCAGAACTGTAAACAGATGTACTTTTTCTTTATGGATATTTTACTAATCACTCCCCTTTTAAACTCTATTCTTGTTTTACTGCCATATAGTATTTCATAACTGTTTTTCCTTTATTCTCTTTTTTTTAATAACTATAATGATCATATGAAGGTGTGCCGCGGAAATAATCTTTTGAATAATTTGTGACCAAACCGTTTGAGACCCACTGAGATAACTTAGACTAAAGTTAACTATCTAAACACTCAGAGAGTCCTTTAGCTCACCTGAGTCTCTCAGTCTGAGAGGAGAGGACTCTCCTCCAGCTTCTTGTGGAACAAACAGCTCCTTATGTCCGTTAGTGCAGCTAGCTAACCAGATGCTAACAACACGGTCCATGCTGGCACCGGTCCCTCCCTCCCCCTCTCTCCCTCTCTCCCTCTCTCTCTCTCTCTATCACACTAATGGCGCAGTTCCACTACAGCGCGGAGCTCGCTTTAAGCGTGCTGTGTCGTGCTGTGCCCGTTTTTGGTTGCGCTTCCACTAGGTCTAGTTCCGGCCCGGCCCGGCCCGGGGCCACTTTTTCACGTCTTTTCTGGCCCGAGAAAATTGTGGTTCTATCGAGGCCAACAAACAGGGCTGAGTCGGGCTGAGTATGCTAAACTAGAGAGAGGAGCGCTGGCAAGGGGGCTACAACTACAACAAGATGGACATATTTGACCGTGATTTAATTGTAATACACGTTTCAAAATGATGCCGAAGTAACAACATACTGATACCGGTTAGTAAAAACCATGAATTAATGCTTTGTCAAGTCTGCAGACAGACAGCAGGCGAAAAACCTTTTAAAATGCATGTTTTTCTAGGTGGAGATTGGCTAAGCTAACGCAGTATATGCTCCGACCGTCCACACTCACAACAACGGCCTATACAGACATAAATAAAGCAGCGACTGTATTCACCATGACACAGGCAGTCTGTGGTGTGTACTTGTTTAACTTTTGTCGAGTTTCTGAACATATATAAGGAGCTGTGAGCTCTGAGTGCTAACAGCTAACGGCTGTGTTGTGTTTCTGGAGTTCTCATTGAAGATGACGTCACGGCTCCGCCTACACTGCGTTACTATAGTAACTACCCCAGTTCCTAAACTGTAATGGAAGCGCAGCATGAAGTGAGTCGGCCCTGTTAAGGCCAAGCCGTACCGAGCCGTACCGAGCGTGGCCGAGGCCGACCGTGTAGTGGAAATGTGCCATTTATGCGCTATTGCCACACACACACACAGAGCCGAGCTTGAATGACACAAGCACACGTTTATTTCCATGCAACTCTCTGATTGGTCTGGTGTCATGCCTCTGTTGCATTCACTGAACACGGGAAATTACAGTGCTGCCGTCCTCTCTTGTGTCATGATGAGGTTCACGTAAAGCACGGTTAATGTATTATATTATTGAGGGAGAATTGTCCGGGGCTACAGAAAAAACATTCGGGGCTAAAGCCCCGGATGCCCAGGCCAGGCGACGCCACTGGTCGATGCTACCAGGGAAGCAGCGACCGAGTGGAAGACGAACCCTGGAGAACAGGCCAAAAGTGCTGGAAGAATATTCAATGAACAGGAGTGGTGGAAGGTAACTAAGTACAAGTACTTCATTTTAAAGTACACATATGTCTGGTTTAACTTCTTCAGCTCCAGAGAGGTCAAATTATCCAACATTGCATGAATAAAATAAGCTTTGGTGAAATGCTAATTCATTATACAAATTTGTTTATCAGAATCTTATTTTAAATAATTGTTGTTCTCTCAATTGTTCCCCAACCCTGACACTGAGTCTGCTTCAAATTAACTTATTATCCTCACAGGATCATTTTATTAAAGTTAAAGCAAAACTTACTACAGCATTCTAACTGTTTATGCTTTAACAGCAATTCATAAATGATCCAGTCATAAATAATTTGCACCGCGTTGCTATGAGACACCACAGCGTGTTCTCAGTGTTTTCTGCTCATGCTGCTTTGCTTTTGGCTAACTGTTTTTGTTGTTCTGCTTTATGATTGTAATGTATGACTGTGCCAACATGTGTCTCCTCCTCCCTGCTCTTGTTTGTAGGCTGCACCTGCTTTTCAGGAGACCAGGCCTCACAATTATGTTCTTTCTGCCAGTGCATCAGCGGTAAGAGTCCATCACAAACTGCAGGGTCTGTCACCCAGCAGGAGCTAGGCTAACATGCTAACAG